TGAACAAGTATGAAGCAGGAGCCTTTAACTGGGAAGACGAATATGTCCCGGATTTCATGCCCGAGGAAGGTAACTATAATGTGTTGGTGCGGTATGCGATGAAACTTGGTACACTGTTGTAACAATTCAAGAAGATGATGAAAACGTAGTAAAATGTTTTTACGGCACAATGCTGACAAATGTTGCTATTTAGGGGTCTTTAGCAATACCCACGCGCAAAAGTAGACACAAAGGCTAATTTTTCCCTAAAGTGGCTGTGATAGAATTTGACGTTATAGTCTTTTGTTTATACAACTCCTACCAGAAAACTCTTGAATAGCTTCCCTTTAAAGTTCAAAAAAGCTATTCACTACTAGAATAATTTAGTCATTGATTTTCACAATTTAACAAAATAACTTATGTTTCAATTATTCTTTTGCAGATACCAAGAAAGAGAGACGCTCCCCAAGAGGTTAAAAGCGACAGGCGACATTAGCTGCTTTACTAGCAATATAGGTATTAGCTGTTGTAGAATAAACTCGGATTTTTTTCACACTGCACTCAACTGTGAGTATTGAAATTTCTCGCCCCTTCTGCAGCCAACCTCCTGTGCGTTTATTTGCCAGTAAAGCACCGACTTTGTAATCAGTCTCTGAACAATAAAACCAATCTGGTAAGCTACAATAGCAAAAAATGTAAAATCAGTCAGTTACATGTAAGCTACAATAATAATGATAATGGCAATGATTAAACGCTTAGAAATGAAAACGACTGCCGTGTATGTCTTATTTTATAATATTTTTAAATGATGATATACGAAATTCTCAAGTTTAACTGAATAAGCCTGAATAAGTACGTTCACGTGGCCTTATATGCATTCTAAACGTCGAACACTTGATTAGCAACATTTTTTTTAAATATCGGCCTCATTTCATGTTTCCAGTTTCTCAAATACAATAACTCTTTCCCACCCGTCTTTTAAATCAACAACTTAGGGCCTCTTCATATAAGCCCGGTTGACCGGGCTGGCCTGGTTTCCGAGATCTCGCCTTACCTCTAATTCTTTTGTAAAATTTTCGACTGATGTGTTCATATGCGAGGGCAGGCTGGCTCGGTTCCCGAGATCTCGGTAAGCGGGCTGGAAATTTTGCCATATGAACACTTCATCCCGGGTACCGGGATGAACGGCGGAATGAATTCTGGCGGTCCGGATAGCATCGTCTTGCATTGCCACATCATAAGTATCCCATTTAACCGCAGTGATACAGCTTTAAGAGTTACCAAAGCTATCATGATAGGCCCGAAAGATAAAATTTTTGTGTCCGGTCATGTTTGCTTTGTTTCCCGAATTTGGCGCCAGAATTCGTTCCCAGGATCTTTGACCTTTTCTCATCTCGGAAACCGGGCTCAAATTTCTCATATGAACCCAAAGCGAAATACATCCTGGTAACCGGGCCAGCCGGCCGCGGTCAACCAGGCTCATGTGAAGAGGACCCTTATTGGCAAATCCCGATTCATTTTTTAGTGCATTAATTCAAAATTTCCTCTGAATTTTTTTGCAGCCCTTTGAAAAAATAATTAATGGCCGTCGTGATAGAATTTGATTTCAGAATTTATACTACTACATGAGAAATTTGTGCAATTTGATTGGCTTAGAGCAGTGGTATTTCAGCTTAATTTGAAATACCTTATTACGTGAAATGTTCGTGACATGTTTATTTCGCGATTTTCACGTAGACATATTTGGCGACACTCAAATTTCGCGATTTGAGCACAACAATTTAAATTTCGTGGGCAATATTATTTAATATGTCCTTGAATTAAACGACTTTATCAAAGAAACAATAACATCAAAATAGCAAAACACAACTGCAGGACTTAATGTCAACTGTAGAACAAAGCAGTTTTCACAACGCCCACAAGCAGTTCATGCTTGTTCGTAAACTTTGAGTCAATTAAACACTCTTGAGGCGAGTCACTTTCATAATTTACTTAAATAATTTTCGCGTCATGTTGGTTCGTGACACTTTAATTTTTTCACGATTATTTTTTTGTATCGAGAAATTAACGTGTCGCGAAAAGTTTATGTAATACGGTACCTACATGTGAAAATTTAAAAGCTTCTACGGGTAGTAGTATAAACAATTTTAAAATAAACACCACTCGTGATATTTCAAAATTGTCTCAAATTTTAAGTATCACTCGTGGTATTTTAGCCAAGTATCACTAAAACTCATGCTATTACCTATACAAATAACTAATATTCAGCATACTTTTGTGATCTTATCTTCATTCTGCTATGTTATCACAGGCGGCTAAAACTCACAATAGGAGGAAACGGTGCGGTATTAATTTTCGTTGACGCAGAGTCTGAAAACTCTGCTCCCGGTCCAATTGGAGGTAATGAATATTTCTGAAATCACCCAGAGCCCTCCATTAAACGTTAGGTTGGTGGCCCCCAAAGTCACGTTCCGTGTCCTTTCCGTGGAATATACATGACATTTCTCCCCACCCTTTTCTTTAAACGTCAGTTTGGACCACATATGATAACATGTCCTCCATGAATATTCTGATAGTGAATGCATTTCACGAACGTTATATTTTTACCTGAAAATATTGCACAAAATGTTGATGGGGCTATGAATAAATAAATGTGATGTAACTCATCACAGCACCTTAAACTGCTCTCGGGTGACTTTACTTTCATACAGGCTCTGAAGATCAAGACAACAAAGAACACGCTTACAAAATTGCTCGACTTTTGCTGTTCGTGTTTTTTGTTGCATTCATGGGGTTCACAGCTGAAGCAGTGCTCTTTGGAGAGGTAGGTTAAAATACTCAAATATCTTACTAACTGCCTAAACTATATAGCTTAAATACTTTTAAAATGGAACAATGAAGGTTGACATAGATTAACAGAATTTCTGGCGATTTCCAAACTGTTCCTTCCGACCAAAAGAAAACAAAGAATGCACAGCCTTCATAATTCAATAATTGCAGGGGTCAAGTCTATGACATGTAGTGAATCTGGTGAATAAATTTAAACCAGGATACTTCAGATACTCTCTCACTAATTTCTTAATTTCTTTTAGTTACATGGAGCCTACATGATACTCTAAAAATTCGAGCTTAATAATGCTTATGTTATAGATTTTGCACTTTACAGCGTTCCTTGCCAGACTCTGGACAAAGGATTGATGCCAGAAACGCCATTCTCCGCAAACTTTTTGGGAAAGGTTAGTACTGAAAAGCTGTCAAAAAGCAGTTTCAGATATTGACAGATAACCAGTTTTAACTGGTTACTGTTTTAAAAAACAGTGGTTAGCAATTGTTTTTATTTGTTAAATCATTATTTTTAAAGGCGAAGATATAAACAAGTATGAAGCAGGAGCCTTTAACTGGGAAGACGAATATGTCCCGGATTTCATGCCTGAGGAAGGTAACTATAATGTGTTGGTGGGGTATGCGATAAAACTTGGTACAATGTTATAAAAATTCAAGAAGATGATAAAAACGTAGTAAAATGATTTTTACGGCAATACCCACGGGCAAAAGCAGACTAAAAGGCTGATTTTTCTCTAAAATGACTGTTATAGGATTTGACTTTATTAATTGTTTATGTACCTCGTACCAGGAAAACTCTTGAATAGCTTCCCTTTAACGTTCAAACAGCTATTCGCTACTAGAATAATTTATTCATTTATTTTCATAATTAAAATATAAAAATAAATAAATAAAATGACTCATCAACTTATGTTTCAATTATTCTTTTGCAGGTACCAAGAAGAAAAAGGCCTTCCGTCACTGATCAAATGTAACCGATACCCATGTCTTTAAGGATGGAACGGTTGCAGCTCAACTTTCATCTGCCTCCTTGAATTGAATAAGAGCATAGTTTTGGCTTCATAAACATAGAGACCAAAAATTAATCTTATCAATAGTCAAACTTGGTGTTCTGTGTGAGAATCCTTAAAGCTGATTGGCTGATTGAAAGGTGTTAATCACCTACAGCAAAAAAAAAAAAAATTGTCATGCCTTACTTACTTCTTTCCTCTTCAGTGACTGTTTTAAGTAATTGACACCTTAATTTTAGTTTACAGCAACTTAAAATAGAATTATCTTTCGTCTAAAAGCTAATTTGAGGGTTTTTACATGTCTATTCAGTTTTTTTTAATTTTTGCCGCTATTTACGTGGCTGTGTGTCTACACATAGTCAATTCTGCATGCAGAACAATCAGTTTGAATATTCAAAGGGTTAGGAGAGACTTGTTGTTCGTGTTTTACCAGGAATATAGGCATTGGCTAGTTGTATAATAAACTCGGATTTTTTCCTAGTGTACTCAACTATGAGTATTGAAATTTCTCGTCCCTTCTGCAGCCAGCCTGGGCAACGACTTTATAACCAGTCTCTTAAAAATAAAACCGATCTGGTAAGCTACAACAGCAAAAACTGTAAAATCAGTCAGTTACATGTATTAAGCTACAATAATAATGATAATGACAATGATTAAACGCTTAGAAGCTGATGAAAACGACTGCCGTGTATGTGGTATATATTTCGATATGTTGCAGATTTTGGTTTATTTTTGTTTGGGATGAATACCACCAGGGAGTGGTATTACTTTCACATACAAACCTACAGGGCTGTTTTGGTCGATAGCCGTCATTCCTCTCATACGAAAACCTTTTAAATACGCTAACAGCCCTTAGGAATATGTCCTTCAAGAAACTCCAAAAGACCTCGATCATGCAATGATGCTTTTAGAAAACCGTAAATCCAGCATTCCTCACTTGCAGTTTTTTGGGCAGAATCTAGAACCTCTTTTGCATAGACTTGTGTACAAAGTTTAATAGACAACTGAAGGTGAAACCAAAGTAAGCTTTTTAATTCATAATTCGATTTTACAAATGAATGTTGGATGAGGCATTTAAGCCACAACTATCTCATATTCAAAGCTACATTGTAAATGCAATGGTTGGGCACGACCTTTAAAATTCATTCTTTATCTTCTTCTAGGGCATCAGGAATCTGCTGTTTGACGATCTCTGTTTGATTCCGTTTTATCGCGCGTTGCAACACGACATACGGGGTCATCAGGTCCGACAGGATACTTGTTCGACCAGTACAAGTAATACACCCAAACGTTCATCTTAGTGAACTTCGTCAGCTAAAATGAAATAATAAACAAAATATTTTTTAGAGTGGAAGTGCACTTAACAGCTCCAGAAATTTTACAATCATTTCTGTTCAATAATTAGCAACAAGTGTTTTAATTAGAACATTACAGTAGGTCTGGAGAGTTGCAGACTAATTATAAGTTAACCAAAAAATAAAAACAAATAAACGAAAAAAAACCAATACTTTTATACTTAGACATGTTAACTGTCATCTTCAGCTTGAAATCGTGAAACACAGAGTCGAATTTATAGTCACACATTTTCGCGTTTCTTTATTATGTTGTAACAGTTTTCTCGCATTATCATAAACTCCATTCTGTGTTTCATGATTTCAAACTTTTGGTTTAAAAAATGTTGCCGTTTTTTTTTTCTCAAAACTATAACATGACAGGGTTAAAAAAAAAACCAACTAGAAGAACGTCGTCAGCTGGTTACGCAGTCCCTTTGCATGCACTGCCGAGGAGTTGAACCCCAAGCGACTTAAACTGAAATCCGCCCAGTGGTCGGAGCGCGGGACTCGAACCCGAGTTCGAAGCGTTGACCAATCAGCCACGCTGTCTCTCGTAAACGATGGTCGAAAATGCAGTGGAATGATTTGCAAAAGACAGATGCCTATTTCAACCAAGTTCAAAGGGGCAAAACTAATAAAAATTAAGCCGATTGGCGGTGGAAGCGTGTTCTCAGCATCTGGTGTACATAACTTCTTCGCGCATTGCCGATTTAATACCGCGGAAGATGTTTCTTAAAAGCTTCATAATTCGCGGAACTTCTAATCCAAGACAGCCAAACGGGATTTAACCCTCTGCGATTAAGACAGGAAACTAAGACCACAAGAAAACTTCCGCTTTGGTGCTTTTAAAAACGCTTAACAACCTGCCGGGCGTTAACGATGCACTGTACGAGAATTTTCAGGAGCTGAAACTCACGTCAAGATCTTTGCAGTTGGTGTCTTTCATCCTAGTGGCACTGCAGTCTAGATTCTTGTCCACAGGAATAAACAGCTCGTAATAACCAGAAGGACTTGTACACTCCTCTTTTCCCATCATCAAGCCAGAATCGGTTGGACCATTTAAGGGGTGGCTGCACATCGGTTCCCATCGACGATCGTCCTTTTCGACACAGTACCCTAAGACAGGAGATGATAGAGTCTAACAGTTGCCGCTCATTTTCCTCAGGGAAAATAGAGGGAGTGAATGTGTGGCGATTTTCATGCGCGCTTTACTACATGTATTCCTGAGGAAAATGAGAGAATACTCGCAATCGAAGGATGATAAAGATAAACCGAATAACAGATTATCAAGGCGCTAAGAAATCATGAGGAATCTCTCCTTTCCTGAAGAATACGCACTGTCTGTCGACTCAGAACGATTTTTCCTTGATCTGTGCACGCTGATAATTTGCTTCCTTTCTTTATATACTAATACAGTGGAACCACTCCTTCGAGGCGCCTCTATTCAGGGACACCTCTATTCAGAGGACACAAAATTTGACGCCAGAAAAACGTTCGCATAATCTTTGTATTTGTTAGTTCTAATGAAGTGACACCTCTATTAAGAGGAAAGGGACACTTTTGCGGGATTCAATCTCCATTCAGGGGACACCTTAGCACTTGAAAAGTGACTGACAGTCACAATGGAAACAACTTTCACTACACGAGCTACATTAAATTGATGTACTGCACTTGTAGGAATTCAACACACAACATCGCAGAGATAAGTTAATCGTGATTTTTATATATATATATATAAATACATTATCTAATTGCTGAAAAATAATGACAGTAGCAGATTCCGAGGTAGAATAAAATAATAATATTTCATTTGTTGGTTAATTATCAACAAAATTCCGGCCCAAATTCCATTAAGGGAACACCTCTATTCAGGGGATAATTGCCTTGATCCCGAGGGTGTCCCCTGATGGAGGTTCCACAGACTGTACTGAATTGATCATTCAGTCACTGCCTGCTTGCCATTGCTTCCTATTCCCTTTGTTGTAGACTCGAGTAAAATGTCCCTTTCTTGCAAGTATAGTACTATGCCGGATAAATTTGAAAACGGAACTCTCACAATGAAAACGAAACAAAAGTTTGCTGTCCACACATGAAAACGGATTAAATGTTCTGCGTCAGGAGCCCATATGAGCTCCTGTCTGCGTCCACACTACAAAGATCAGAGGCGTCAAAAACGCTTAAACGCACCTTTGAGCATGCGCATATCGAGGCGTTGAGCCCGCCGAGAAGTCGGCTTCCAGCCGACTTCTCCTTACTCCCGCCATATTTGAACGTTGTGACGTTGTTGTTTACGCGAAAGAGATTATTATCTTTTTTAATTTACCCAGCATGTCAAGCCTTAAGAATAATACTGCGGAAGAAAAAAACAAAACCGAATACTTTTCATGGTCTGCTGACGAGGTGAAATTGTTGTTGAATGTCACAGGCGACTACAAAACTTCGAAGGCCTTTGATTTCTCTCATACATGTTATAAAGTGCGATATTTAACTCCAAGCACGTAATTAAACTTGATATCATGGACAACAAAAAAGCTATGATCTCGTCGTCCGCCATGTTGGATTTATAACCTAGGAAGACTTGGGCAATGAAATCACATGACAATCATGACGTGTCGCCGAGCATCGCCCGTTTCGAAAAGTTCCGTTTTCAAAATGTTCTCTGTCCACACTAATACGGCTAGCCGGCGTTTTTAAATTCTTCCACTCTAGATCTGGAGACCGTTTTCGAAAAGTTCCGTTTTCGATGGAGAATTTATCAGGATTTGTGCGGATTAGTGTGGACGGAAGGCGTAACCGGAAAAATAAAGTTCCGTTTTCAAATTGCATTATGTGCATTATGTGCACGGGGCCTTAGGATATTGTCACTAATGTGAATGAAGGAGTGCTTTAAAATTTAAAATTAAACTACTATTATGAATGCTTACTTGAATTTTTCCCCTGTTTCTTTGCCTTGCGACACTCCTTGTCATTGCTGATGGTAAATCGATCGAACTTGAGATTCCTGTAGTCAGTTATTGGCTGGCGGTAATTCTTAATCTTTTTGTCACCTGCCAGGAAATGAGCTCCGCTTAGGTGGCGCACCTTCAGATGAATTTTGTCAGGTATTGTATCTTGCTGCTCAGAACCGTAGAGTTCGATGTACATCTGCCGAATTATTAACAGTTTTTAAAGTTTCATTCTAACGCAAAAATACAATATCAAAAGTCTAGAGCAAGTGTTTGATTAGGTTAGGTTGACAGCGTTGGGAGTGATAATGTGTTCCATGTAAGGAAGCGAGTGTTAGTCCGGCCGTGATTTAAACCAGCGGCCTACCGCTCGGCAGACCGGCGCTTGTCCAATCGAGCTGACCGGGAGGTGATATAGACAACTAGAATTTTTATACGATTGTACAAAAAAAGCGTCTCAAAAATATCATTGTAAAGGTAAGCCCAAACGCTGCAAACTACTGTCTGTGTTACAAAAAAAACAATTCCAAAAATATCAACAACACCAAGAACAAGGAATAAATGATGAGTTATATGTATATTCTTACCTTAATAAGTCGCGCGTTGTAACAACTGGGGCAAATTTCATCTTCACTGATACCGAATCTAGTGTAACCTTGTTGGATTTCTTTAAACATCTGCAAAATTTAGAAATAACGTTATATTCTAACAGTGGCAAAAAAATAACATCAAAGCACGTAATAATGTCTTCAGACTTGGCTGAAACCATTCTTACAGAGGACGACGTTGGGCAGTATCAGATAATCTCGAGCCCAGATCTCTTTTCGGCTTCGTCTTCAAGACATCTGGGTACGAAATTGAGAGTCAGAAACAATGTCATGACTTTTGTCATTAATTGCATAAAGCCTCTAGGCGCTAGTTAAACAAAACTTATACAACGTAATTGATAACTGAATTTCTTAACTTTGAAACTACAGGTACAGTTTAAACTAAAATTTCAAAAGTTTATATTGACTTGATTCCATAAGAGAATGTATGAAAATATACAAAATTCGTCCTAAAATTCATTTTTTGACTTAAATAGAAATAAAGATGACTCACCTTGTGGTTTTGTTTTGTTATTTATTGTCTCTTTGCTTATCGACGTTTAGAATTTTGAGTTGTACTAATAATAAGAAATAAACTCAAAATCTTAAACGTCGATAATTAGGTTTCCAAACTAACGAACTCCCACAGAGTCTGGGCCGCCTGTGGTGTTATTAAGCATGATATTGGCGAAGTGAAATAGCAATAATCGCTTCTAAATACTACACCATCCCCGCCTTGTATTGTGGACCCTGCATTGCATTGTTTATGCGTCTTAGTAAGCAACATAGCCAGTTCAGTTAACATGTTAGACAACATTTTCTCAGCGGATCCAAAGGTTCTTGTTTCAGCTTAGTTTCATCTGGTTGTCAACAAGAGGTTTTTCCACTTGCAACAGATGCGGTTACACATTATAGCCACCAAAAATTTATATATATATATATATATATATATATATATATATATATATATATATAAATTAATGATAATAATAATAAAACGAGCGACTTTGTGACGTTGTTTACATGATTACCTTTTTGTTTCTGTCCTTGTCAAAGCTCCATTTATGGACATTTCTTGTATATTTCAGTTTAGAGAAACATACTTGAGCTTTTCCTATAACCCCGGACAGAGTTCGAAGTTCCCTCGTAAGTTCCACCGCTCCGTTAAGTCGCCCAACGCCCAGTGCACTCTCTGAAGCAATCCGTCGGAATGAGCCTATTAAGTTATTCAAGTTCCACAGTGTACGGAATCCAAGGGCCTTGTGGAGCTCATAGAGCTTTATCATAAATGACCTTTCCAGTTGTTTGTATGTGCTGAGAAGATTGTCTGTGAAGGTTTGGCGGAGTTCCGTGGTTAACAGGCCACCTCAATTCAAACGCGAAAAATTGTTTGTTAGTAGCTATACATAACGCTAAAACTAACAAATTTAACATTATTTCCAAGCGATGAACAATTTTAGGTCAAACTTTTATGCCACTGGTGGAGAGTTTCATCACATCAGTACAACGGACCTTGTAGTCTAATAAAAACATATATACCTGACCTGTCAGGAGGGCACGGATGGTAAGTGGACTTGTTACAGTATTGCTATTGTAAAAACTACAACATTGCTACAATATTATTACAATGTGAGGGTCGAAAAACGACTGGGAGCGATGACAAGTTACTTCAGCTTTCAGCTTTAGTTACTTGAGGGTCCCCAATAGGGTTTTTCTATCCCGTAATCCCGACCCAAATTTTCGGGCAATCCCGTAATCCCGAGGGTTACTTTTGGCATCCCACCTCCAGCGCATACTTTCAATCCCAAATCTCGCCCCGATTTCCCTTTAAAATCCCGAATCCCGAGCCTCAGATAAGGGAAATCCCGCATCCCGAAAAACTTATTGGAGACCCTCTTACGTGAGTCTCCAATACAACCAAACAATAAAGCTCTCAGGAGAACTCTATTGTTTGGCTTCTTTGTTTCTTTGGGGTGACGGTACCTGCGAAAAACCACAAGTTTGTAAACGCGTAAAAATACTCGTGCATTCATGTTGGCTACACCAGATCAATACTCATCCTTTTGAAAAAGTTAAACATATATCCACCCCAGAGACTGTTCCGTTAATTTTAGTACATCGTTCACGTGAAAACGGAAGCCATATACATGTCGAGTTAGACTTAGTTTCAAAATTATTAGCAGGATGGTACTCGAGCGACCTTATTATTCTGACGCCTTCGTTCTGCGTTTCAGAATCAACACAAGCACACAGGGGGGGATACCGGATTTTTTTTTAGGAGGGGGTGCACTCGTCTCTTGCTCTACTTCAACACCAATGAACCACATAGTTTTTTTTTGCAGAATACCAGTTGTATTAGATTAGAAAACAGCAGGTCATCTCAGGGGGGCGCACCCCCTGCACCCTCCCCCTATATCCGCCCCTGAGCGCTTCAGCTAGTAGTAGTAGAAAGTGCAGTAAGGACTCTGGCAAAATGGTCTTCAAGCAACCCAAAACGCTTGCAAAATGTTTTAAATGACTTATTTGCCAATTTAGAGCATTCAGTACGATATAATTTTTGCATTTTAGCTAGTGAAAGAATGGCTAAGGCCCTCCTTCGAAGCATCATACGTTGACTCTGGTGTAAATCGATTCTTATACCTTTTGACTTGCCAGCCGCAATAATTCCCTTTTCAGTCTTTTCAAGAAGTGGAATATCAAAGTTGTTAGTTCCAATGTTATTGTCAATTTCTACAACTTTCCCTATCATGTCAATGCGCGCCCCTCCAACAATGAAGTATGACTCTATTTCCGCTTTCAGCGGGGCAACGTCCCGAGGTCTAGCAGCCTCTTCCAATAAACAAACTAAGTCAGCAGCAAGCTTTTCCTTGCTTATGTCTAAGTTGGCCTGAATTAAAACAACAAAAACAAGAACATTTATGCCAGGTAAAAAAAAAAAAACAACAACAACAAAACAAAAAACAGAAGAAAAAAAAGTTAAGAAATAATACACCCAATTGACCTTGGCTGCAAAATGTTGTGTCGCCACAGACCAAGTGGCAGTAATACCTACCATCTGCTCTTCTTCGTTACCATCCGGAAAAATCAGCTAAAGTTGCCTATCACTGCGGCTACGCCACTACAAGGAAATGCTATCTGTTTTGCAGTAGTTCATTGATATGAAGATAGAATTGGTAGGGCCAAACCATTAGGGAGCTTAAGCAACTACGACGACGACCACAACGACGACTTCAAAAAGACAATGGGTTTAATGATCAAAACAACTGCTCTGCACGCACTCTCACGCTTTTTAGTACATTTTTAGTACATTTCGTTGACGTCCACTGCACGACTGCGACGTGAAACCTTCTAATTTGAGGTTTTATGGAGGACGTGGACATACGACGACGAATTTTCCTTCCTCTTTTTGAACCTGAATAAAATCCTTAAGAATTCAACTCCAGGAAAAGTCGCCTGCATTTGACATATTGCGCGGGTCCAAGTAGACGCGAATAAGTTTGAAAGAACGCAAATTCATTTTTTACCGACGTTTTCACTGCCGTCGTCGTCGTCCTTGTTTAAGGTCCCTATTTATAGTTCTAGTAGCGCAACAGTCATGCGTATTACAATTGTTTTAGGTGCCATCTTGACAACCCAGGGTTAGTCCCTATAACGGCCTATAGGGACAGGCACCATGTATATGAAAGGTAGGAATTTTACCAGTTGAAGCTAGTTGAAGTATATGAAAGGGTAAGTGAATCCGTCATTTCCTTCCCAAAAGGGATAAAAGATGCATTTTATCGGAGTGAAAAAGACGAGAAACAAGTTCTGGTTTTGTGATTTATATATATTTGAAAGACAGTACAAATGCAGCAGCTTAAAATGATGCAAAGTTCCAAACTAGGTATGTGAAAGGGGTACCATTTGGTAATTAAAGGCATACATTACAAAAGGGATACCTCTCCTGTCAAAAATGGTATATAAAAGAGCAAGGGGTTGGACCTCGGGGCAGAGTCTTCCCGTTTAAAACTTTTTTGAGCTACTACCTCTCCCCCGCCTTCCCCCCGGGGAACACGGGGGGAACACGGAGGCAGTTGTACAGTGGTCCGTACTGCTTTGATAATTAACAACCAAGACCGACTACTCTATAACATTCTCATACCGTATTATCACACATATTTATTTTTTATGTAAACGTAAAAAACGAGGGAGAATGCTTCATCACGGGTTCCAAAGATTGAGAAACAGATTTTCATCTGTTTCGAGGAGTGAAGCAAGAAGTCCGAGTTTTTGACATGTTTTCTCAAATGAAACAAGAAGAAATTATACAGTGACATGTTTTCTCTGGCACTGTATTGTTCCATGAGTTGTGTTACATCTCATTAAAATGCAAATGTCTGATCTAAGATAAAAAACATGTTTCATCTCAGATGAAAACCTGGTTGTGTTTTATCTGGTGTCTCATTAGGTATGAAGATTCATCCAACTGAACCAAATGGTCGTCATTTACTGGCTTTTTACGGCATGAATAATTAATGATTTTGAGAAAATATATACCTTCATAACTTCGGGGATTGCGGAGACCTTCACTTTGTCAAAGTTTAAGTCACTAGAATCCTTGAGTGGCTTGTACTCGTTTCCAAATGTGAGCCATTTCTTGAGATTTTTGCGAATTGTGCCCAGTGATTTGAGGCATGGTTTGTTTATTTCGTAATCCATTATACCGACAGCCGAGTCAATAAATGCAAAGGGGTCTTTGCCTGCTACAGCTCCCGAGAACCCAGTGATTCCCTGAAGAACTGCCAAAAACTGCTCTGCGTCTAACTTGTTCTTCGTTTTCTGATAAGCTTCGGGTAACAAGTTCATGATTGTTGTTAGTATACCTTTCATTCTCTGCTCCTCTGACTTTATGGCCTGTAGGAAGAAGAGATATGATAAGCCAACGGCAAACAGGAACGGCGTGTGAAGATCAGTGTAAGAAGAACAAGACGCTACGGAGCGTACACTTCGGCGTCGTGGTTGTGGAACTAATTAATTGTAAATGCGGAGGAATAGTAAGAAATGAAATATGGTAAGAGTAAGGTGTTAATTTGTGAAATTATGGGATTTGTCAGGATATTCTGAAAAGAGCAACATCCAAGAGGCCTACTTGCCAAAAACTAGCATTTCGGGACAAATTGTCTCCGAGATATTAGCCCAGTTATGCTCTGATGACTCCATACAAATCCTTCTAAAAAAACAATTCTCTTTTTTTCTTAGTCACATTAGGCTTCAAAAACAGCATAGCAGTCTCATGTACTGATTAAAGATATGTAAGGCATTGGTAAGGAGTCAATTACGTTGAGCGTGGAATTGGCTAAAACTCAAAGTCACGAGTTCGAATGTTTTGAGGATAACTATTCACTGACTATCAGAACGCAGGAATGTCGGATTAACACAAGGAAGTTTAACACCAAAGGAACATAGCCTTTACAGAGCTTTAAAACACAGCATCCACCAACACAAACTTGACTTGAACTTTGAGTAAAACTAAACAGCCTCTACCAATAATAACAAACTCTCACTTGAACTTCAGATATCTTACGGCTTCCGCGAACTTGTAAACACCGAACCAGAAAATCGACCTTCGTCACACTTGACTAAACACAGCAGTCCAGCTCGTGGGAAAAAACTTAGTTCGTCGAAAGAACTCGCTTGGAACTTGTACACCGTTTGACATAAGGTTCTAGAAAATACTAAACAGGCGAATAGTAGTAGCTTTTCGACATATTTTATGATTTCAGTAACTGATGCAAATCTGCTGACTCAAGCTGAAATGTAAACAAGCCCTAATTAATTATTCATGCCTAATCCAAAAACGTACAGAAGTGATCTCGAGATTTCTCGAACTAATTCGGCTCTCAATTCGTCAAATAGCCGAATAGCACCGAAAACCTACAGACTTTGCTTGCCCAATCTTGTCAAAAAATGGCAATTTTGATACATTCCTGAGCGTCGCGAATCCTTTACTTCGCGCTCCGCCGAAGTAAAAAAAAGTGGAGGGGGGGAATAAGTGAAAAATTAATTTGCTGGTGTCAAACACCCACCATCGTAAAAAACAAAACAAAACAAAAACAAACAAACGAACATAAAAGGTTTGTGTAGGGCTACTTTGACACTCAAGCAAGGAAAAGCAAGTCCTTTCTCAAAAGCCCTAAATTTAACTCATCATTTGAAAAAGAAACACTTTTCCCACTGTTTGAATGACAATAATAGTAGTTAAAGACAGAAGAAAATGAAACAAATACAACTGTAGAGTTACTCGTGGAAAAAATATATCAAATAAAAACAAAATATCTTAGAAGAGAACGCCAGCTTTTCTTTAATGGCTGACCATGGCCACGTGCTGTCTGTCGCGGATTGTTTACGTTATGTTTACATTCACGTGGCCATAATTATGTGAGCCGGTTTCAGTTTTAAGGGTTAGGGTCTCTCGAGTAATCACGATACCAAAAAGCTCACAAAGTGCCAAAAACCGAGCCCGAATATTGCACGTGAAACGATTAAACATTGTTTCGAGCTTCGTGTCTTACCTGAAACGTACTAATTTGTTTAATGATCGCTGCGTACTAAAATGCACTTAAACTTAAAAGGAAGCTATAAGATCCACAGACTCTGATTGATCTGACTGTTTCCTTCATCGTAGTAAGAATATCAATTTTTGTATTATATTTGACAAAAGTCACACTATTCATTAATTGACTGTATATAATAAGATGAACTAAAAGGTGCGCTGTCCTCCAAGCACATATATACCTTGATATACATCCTTTTTTCACTTTCGTCGACGTTTCTGGCCGCAATAAGCCGATTTCTCTGCGCTCTTACTTGTCTAGTCGTTATATCTGAAAATTTAGACGCCATCTAATAAGAAAAAAGTAACAAAAGAAAACGAGCAGTTAGGCTATTTTTAATCGGCCAAAAGTCTTTGTTGTAGGAGAGAGTATGAGTGAGACGGGTTCCCTCCGAGGGACGTAAGTTGTTTTTTTCACTATTATTACTCTTCCCTTTTATGTTTTTTTTTTAAATTTACGTATGGTGCTGTGGTTTCAGAGCTTGCCCATGATTGCAAGTTAATAACATTCATGCTCGTTATGATAGACATTAAGAAGTGTCCCCTAGCCCTAATCCTCACCTAAACGCAATCAATAGTAAGACCTTATTCACGATACCTGTCATTTTGGTACGCACTTTAGCATTGATTGATTAAAAGCAATGTCACGTGTTATTTCAAAGGGGAAACAATTGATACAATTAGCCAATTCGAGTAATCGCGGTCGAGTTTGCTTATTCTCTCAGAACGAGACGACGACTTTAGTCATGCAAAATGTACAGTTCGAGTCTCGACAAGTTTTTCGTCATTTTTGCTTGCTGTGAGAACATCTACAGCTGCTACTGGATCCAAAAAAAAGTAGCAATGCTCACGTCCACCCATATATCTGCCATTATCGTCTTTAGGAATAACAAGTCCATCATTTTCTGTTGTCTAGAATAAAGAAACTCGACCGCGACTTCTTGTATCGGCAGAATTTATTTTTGTTTGCCCCCTGTCTTAAACACCTGCAAAGATGGCGGGTATCATGAATAAGGTCTATTCTGTCTGCATGAAGTCACATGGAAATAATTGATCTAATCTCGAGGTTTCGAGCTTTCTTGTATTTCTGGAGATGAGTGGACGATAGGTGAACGTGACTGAACAGTACTTTCACGGTATGCTAAATATTGTGCTGTGCAAGATACGAGGGATGATAAGCCTCGGAAATACATTTTTTTTCCTTTGGCCCTGTGGGCCTCAGTTTGATCTAATGAACTTGAAAAAAAGATCAGCCACTCCTTGTATATGACGATTCAAAGGATCACCTTGAAGAAATTGATCAGTATTATTGCTGGCACTCATTGTTCATCTCTATACACAGTATTCGTCCATATGATCCATTTTTAAACGGTTGCTAGAAAGAAGTAACTTTTTACCTGCTTTAAATCTTTTTTGTTATTCACGCTAGTAATTATATCGTTGAATGCTTTTTCATAATCACCGGCTGCTTTCTTTATGTTGTCGATATCTTTGTAGAACGTTTCCCATCTGATAAGGGGGGCAAAGAGCGAGTTCTTTCCAAATATGTCAAAACCTTCTACATCTAAGAAGGCAAGTTTCCTTTCTGCGTCTAAAAGAAATAGGATTAACAATGAATGATTCAATGTATTGGTCGTGTTGGTCAAGTATGAAAACATCTACCCATTCTTGAAGAGACATTCTCAAACTCATTAATAATTCATAAAGAAAATACAAAGAAAATTAATGTTTAATGAGTGTTTGGAAATCGGATGAAAAACTGCTCAGTATTTGCATCCTTAATTTCTCCTTCAAAAATGATTTTGTTTGAGAAGAAATATCAAACATTCGACACAGTGTTTCATCACCAGATGAAACACCTCGAAGTTCGTCAAAAATACTCCGCTGCGCGTCGTATTTTCAACTCTCTTCTCGGTGTTTCATCTGGTTATGAAACACTGCGTCTCATGTTTGATATATTACTTCAAACGTCTTGTGCTGAAATTAAATGCGTTTTAGGTCTGTGCATCAAAAATATTTTGGTTTTATGCCATTTCTTGGACGACGGCACAAAGCTTTTTTGAAGCTTCACTTATTTAACCGAACCCATAGTAGAAAAATTTTTTTCAAGAATTAGAAATCTTTAGCCAACAGCAGTTCCAATAGAGCTACCACAAAGTAATGAAATGAACAGACCTTTTGTGGTATATCCCATTTTTGTATGGAAGTGGGTTATAAATTTGATTATTTTTCATTCAGAATACTTCTCCTTTTTTGATTAGTCCAAATTCTTCATAACTAGCTAGCAAAAAATAAGGTCAATCTGATACTAAAGGATAAAAAAATGCACACAATAGGAGGAATGGAGGTAATATATACAACGCTAGAAATTGTGGGATATCTATTGCTTTTAAAAACTGAATCATTGGATATTGCAACTCTAGAGCTCTGATTGGCTGAGCCATCATGGTTGTGAGCCATCATACCATTCTCTCCAAATATGGTAACTGTACTTATCTGCTCAAAATTATAAACAAGCTGAAAACCGGTTGTTTTTACAAGTAAAGTCGGGAACAATTCGCGATATTTTGTGGGTGTTTTTAATAAAACAACTATTCCATTCGCGCTTGTTGGATATGAGATGTTTATAGCCAATTCATATCCAACGCGCACCCGTGGAATAATTGTTAATTATGAAAATATGCTTGCTATATTTACGGTACTAAGAACAGTGCCTAAAAGCATAGCAAGAACAGCAAAAATACAACTCAGTGGATGGCATCTGCTTATTGACGAATTTATGCTAGACTAAACATCCCTCCATATCCTGAATTTGCCGAGAAAACAGCCAAATGAAGACAGGAACTAACATCGATCGAGGTAAACATGTTTCAGCTCGTCTCGTATAAACTATGAATTATTTCGAAAGAATAGTAATTTAAAACACTTATTGGATTCGGTTTTCGTATGATCTACAGCCTCGCCCAATAATCGCTAATTACCATAAAAAGATCGAATAGTCAGGCCCAGTTCAGACGTCGTGCTTCTGCCGTGCCGAACTAAATTCAGGAATTAAGTTCAACAAATGCACGGCAGAAGCACGGCGTCTGAATCAAACTTTTGAATTAAGTTCGGCAAGCAATTAAGTTCGACAAGCGCTGCCGTGCTACACGGCTCTGGCACGGCAGCAATTCAAACGTCGTGCTTCTGCCGTGCTAAACAAAATTCATAAATTATATTAATGTATTTTGGCGAGATTGCGTTCCCACGGGGACTTGGGAGAAGAATTGTTACGAGGTAAATCAGTAAATCCTGAATTTGGTTCGACTCTGGCACGACGTCTGAATCAAAATTGTTTTTCTGCCGTGCTACAGTCGAACCAAATTACAATTAAGTTCGGCACGGCAGAAGCACGACGTCTGAACTGGGCCTCAGTTGCTTGTTGAAGCATTTACCAAGAAAAGAAATATTAGTCGACGTTTCGAATAAAGTTAATTCTAATTTTAATTTTCATCTAAATTTAACTTTTAATTTTTCTTTTTAATTATTTAATTGATCTACTTTTTTTTTTCTGCAAGATTTTGTCGTTATTGTAAAAAAAGGTTCTCCAAAACCGGACCGTTTGGTTCTTACGAGGTCGTCCACCCCAAGATCAAAAGTTAATCGATCCGACAGTTGTTTAAGTTAGCTTGTGAGTTCAAAGAATGCAATTTTGAGGAATGATGCCCGCAATATACACCGTGTAATATGATCATGATTGTTATTATTTTACGCAGACCCTAATCAACAACAGCAATAAAAACAAAGTTGCTACCTGAACATTGACCTAACCAAGCTGCTCTCACAAAATAATTACCCTTTTTAATATCTTTCACGTCATCTCTTCCAGTCGCCACATCTTTAATAAACCGCAGGGCGTCTCTACCCTTTTGGTTGTCTCTGTCACCCAGCAACAAGTCGACAGCTTGCCTTCTTATGATAAGCAAGAGTTCCGCTGGAAATTTTTTCTTGCTTGGTGCGTCCAGAAGTCCGTATTGGATAAGTTCCTTGCTGACAGTGCCATCGTTTCCTTTAACGGTTGGTGCTGAAAAATATTATTGTATAATACATAGATTAAGGCAAGGTTAAAAGCGAAGCTTCCATCACAGTCAAACCAGGTAAAGAGTATCCCCCATAGATTCTAGTAATACCGTAAAATTCCGAAAATAAGCCCCCCTATGTATAGAGCGTTTTCACATGACGTCACGGCGGCCATATTGGTATTCCAAAACAATAGAACGGCGGCCATGTTGGTGTTCCAAAACATTAAAACGGCGGCCATGTTGGTGTTCCAAAACATTAAAACGGCGGCCATGTTGGTGTTCCAAACAAAACCTGTGGGAGTTGAACTCTTTTCTTATGTAAAAACTTTCTTTTGCTCCAATGTATTAGCATAGATGCTGGCCACGTGAGTGAAAACACTTTATAAGCCCCTCCAAATATAAGCCCCCCAAACACGTAACGCAAAAAAAAAACCTCCGTTAAATCGCCCCTCCAAATATAAGCCCGCTTGTACTTGGAAATGCCCTCAAATTCAAAGAAAAACAAAACAAAAACGGTAAATTTCTTTCCGCCTATAAGGCGAGCCCAATCGATTTGAAACGTAAATTTCCCTCCGTAGATAAGCCCCTCCAAAAATAAACCACTCAAAAAGGGCCCTTGAAAAACATAAACCCCGGGCCATGATTTTCGGAATTTTACGGTAAAAATTGAATCCGTTAGTCTTTGCCAATATCAGGTATATTTCCTCGTTGTTGCCTTCTACGTAAAGTTAATAGGCCATTTCCGAGTTCCCCCGGGCCTCTGTTTCAAAACGAGGGTAGGTGCTCAGACTTTGATACGGAAATCATTTTTCATTCTCATGCAAATAAAACTCATTTTCACAAGAAAGGTTGTGCACCTAGCCTCATTTTGAAAGTGAGGGTTTTTGGAACTCGGAAGAGGCCTATTCAGAGAGAAGTATCGCCCCCTGTAAGGGATTGCGGACTCCAGAATCCGGGAAATTTTTGCTTGTGGAATCCAGAATCCGGGAAGTTTATCTTGTGGAATCCGGAATCCCGGGCATTGGAATCCGCGATATAGCTTAAGGAATCCAGATTGGAATCCGGAATCCAAGTTCCACTGACGAAGAATCCGGAATCCAGTACCTAGAATCCGGAATCCACGGTGTTGAATCCAGAGTCCAAGACTGTCTTGGATTCCGTTACATGGGACGAGAGGTAAGTATAAACGCACGTAGGTTTCATTAAGTCATTACGATTTTCTTCCAAAATCGAACAGTGCGAGTGTGACAATGGTGCCTTGAATACTAAGGTAAACATCTACATATAATGCTATCACCTGGTTCAAGAGTAATCTTTAAAGAAAACAAAAATAGTGAAAGTAATGTTTTATGATTGAATTAAATATTTTAGGCTAGAGTTGGATATAATTATATACAACTTTTTTTATTTTCCCTGGTAGCTTAAATTAAAAAGACATTATAATTCTTCAAATTAGGGCCTGTTTACAAGAAGGTGGGGGACCCCAGATAGGTGAGGTAAACTGCTTAGGTGGGGTAAAAAAATATCCCTCCTTTACATGCAACCTTACAACCCCGCCATCCCGGGGTACACTTTCTCAAGATTACTGAATGGTCGCTAAGTACGTAAACAAGAAAATGCTGGCAAACCACGTTTTTTGGTGATTAATGCTCTCCTACACTCGCTGCTCTTGCTGCAACCTTCAGCGCTGTGGCTTTCGATTGTTACCTTTAATAATGATGCAAAGCCACCGCCAAAGTGAATTTTGAGCGAATTCAGTATCGCGAATCCGACCCCGGCTAGGCGGGTTACGCCACCTTGAAACGTTTACATGGAAAAATCTGACCCCGGCTGAGAGGGTTAACCCGGTCTGGCAGACCGGGCTACCATGGCGGGTCACCCCACCTATCATGAGAGATTATATGGACAGGCGGGTTACCTCACCTACCTGGGGTCCCCCATCTCAATGTAAACAGGCCCTTAGAGAGGCATTCTGATCTGGTGTGCTCAACTATGCACTCTTCAACCTTACGGCCTGCACGAAACGTCGGTCGGAATTCAACACTCAACGAATAGAATAAAGTATAATTAACGACACACCTATTTAAATACATACGTATGTAGTTACTACAGTTTGTCTGAACCAATCAAATGCCAGAAAACGAAAGGCAATCCAAAATAGCCGGTAAGCACAAAGTTACTGTGACCGGCAACGCGCCAGAAAAGTGTTGTTAGCTGACGGCGGTTCGTCGGGGAAGGCTTTTGACTTTTTTGTTGCTGTGAATATATTAATGCCGTCAGTATGACACCAAATGCTACTGTTTGTTACAAGGAAAAGTGTGACCAAAGTTTGTATTGGAAACAAGCCCGCATTCGTGGCGTATCAAATACTAAAGGTCCTGGAAAATGTAGAACCACTGAAACATTGGACAAGATTAAGAAAACACTGATATGTTGGCCGGTGTTCCAACCAAACATTTATGTGTTCAGATGCTGACAAAGTCTACTGGCATCGAAAAATAACGAAGAACAAGCACACGTGGAAGATCGATCCACAGGCGTTAGTGTTCTGAAGATTTTCAGACAGTTCTGAACATAAACGTTTTTAAAAGTTTTTAGTTCGCGATGGAAAATGGAGGAAATAGTATGAAATGATGTTTAAATGTTTATTTTCAACAGTTTCCTTGTTTAAATTAAGTAGTTGCATTGTTGTTTCGTTGTTTGTGCCTTGTGAATGGCAAGTTGGCAGAAAACTAGAATAAATCTTGTTTTTTTTTTTTTAAATCTTGCTGTCTGATTTTGTTTTAACTACGGACGGTTTGAATGTACAATATTCTTAATTTCTGTCAAACGCTTATTATAAACAAATCTAGATAAGCTAACCAGCTATATGATTAATAGGTGAGAGGACTACATGCTTGTCCAATTTGTAAAAAATTGAATTCAAAAAATTTTTCTGACAGCCAAATTTAATTTGGGCTGTCGTCGGAATTTTTTTTTTCATCCAATTGTTTCCAAATTGTACAGCATGTTGTCCTATTTCGTATACAATTATGTAAAATTAACTATTTGGTGAAGATTTTCTTTTAGTTTACAACAACGATTCTTGGTTTGGCCAGAAATTAAATGACAATGTTGAATCTAATTAAAATTATCTTACTCGATCCTGCTGCTCCATTATTACCGGTATCTCCTTTACGGGCTCTTTCAGTGTATTCTCCTTCGCAAAAATATTCCGTTCCCCCCTCTCGCATATACGAAGATCCTAAGTCGCATTTTACTCCACGTCCTCCCTGCCCGCCTTCGCCACCTAAGGTTCAAAGTAATAATTTTCTTAAGGCACTGGTTGCGTCTTTAACCATGTCTTAATTTGCCATTTGCAAAACTTTCAAAACGTACATGCGGAGTAATTAAATCTTAGCGATGATGAAATATCTAATTTCTCGACAGTGAACAAACTACTGCTATTACCGCTACCAATACCCCTACCTCTACCACTACCACTACCACTACCAATAGGCCTGAGTATCGTCCAATTCCGCCTGTAAATATACAAGTGATTAACAAATATCCGATTTGCTTAATCACGAATACACGATTACAGATCAAATTGGACAGTCATTGGTTACTTTGAGGCCAAATGGCATCTAACAATTCGATAACAATAAAACTATTTCCCGCCTTCAATTCCACATCACAATGACGTAAGCCACGGTGGCGTGGAATTGAACGCTAACAAAAAAAAAATGCAGAAATGTCTTACCCTTTCCTCCTTTTCCATTTTGAGCTGGCTGAGCTCCAGTTCCCCCACAGGTTTTTAATGTTGTCTGTCCCATCTGTTTTCTGTAGCGTAGTGTCATACCGCCGGCATTGCCCCCGTTACCTTTAGGATTACAGAGAAGAACATTTCAGTTTTTTTACACTAGTAGGGGATAAAGTTGTTGTTTTGGCGAAAATTGTCCCCTCACCCACCGTGTGTGCGTGTAACTTGAACCGCAAGGCTGGGGTCGCTAAGGTTAGATTTTCAACGGCCGTGCGCGGAACTTCGTAGCAAAGCTTCATCGATGGCTCTCGATGGAAGAGAGTCGTTGTTTTGGCGAGCTAATATGCGCGCACTGCGGTCGCTTTTGTCCAATGAAAAAGCAGTAATTACAGGCGGATTGTAACGTGCCCTGGGTTAAATCTGGACGCCGGCGATTGAACCATTTGGAGTGAACAACGGTAAAACTAAAAATCGCTGGAATCGCCCTGAAACGGCCAAAAATGCTAAGAAAACACCACAAATTTAGAGAAGGAGACAAGGTAAGAAATTCTGATGTATTTTTATTACTATTAGATTGTGACCCCTAAATAACGATCGCTTAAGTCTCCATACAAACTCTTATAATATTTCTGTTACGCAACAGCGATTCACTGATTCTCACTCGTGAGCTTGGGTACCTGTGTTTTAAGACCCTGAGTATTGGTCTGGCCCGAGGATCGAACCTGCGACCTCCCGCTCTGCAGTCATATCCTCTACCGACTGCGGAGCCAATTCTGCCATAATAGTATTGTGGAGAAAAGGTTATGGGGACAACAGGCCTTGCGATAAATCTGCAGATGAATATAAACCTTCGTTACTCGCAAACAGTCTTCCAAGGGACATTTGGCCTAATAAAGAGAACTTTTGGAAGAATAGTTCATTTCCTTGTTGTAACTTATTGTGAAATTTTGAATGGTAAAGACATCATTCGTTGGGTTCCATTCCTAAGAAGTAACTCCCCGGTAACTATCAAAACATGTAGACTGCAAGTTCAAAGATACGCGTGACAGTTGATTTTGTTGCCAGACGTTAACTACTTAGGTCACGTGCCTTTCTTTGTTATGTTAAAAAGGTGGCCCTACGTGGTCACATTCGTTAGTTAAAGTTTCTTAATCCAAGTCAAAGAATGGCTTTTTTTGTCAATGGGCAATGTAATAAAAATCTAGAAATGCCAAAAAAGACTTGTTACTTCTAGAGTAAACTTTCATGTAAGTCCGGTTTTGTTTTATTCTATTTAAACAGAACAATTCCAAACAGATGACTTTGCTCACCTCAGACAGGAAGCCACGTTCTCTACTTCAGTGCGCTGAACTATATTCTTATATCTTGCGCACGCGCTGCAGACGCTAGAGGACGATTTGTGCCAGAAAAAAAAATCGAGCTCATTTTTAAGCTCCGGTGTTTCCCACGGAGGCCCGAGCAAAAACGGACAAACAAAATCACAAAACAGCCAAAGGGAAACATGGTATAATTTTACAAGAAAGCTATTAATAAATCAATCAACATAAAAGACACAGTGTAAGGTACCTGGTTTTCCAGCATTCCCTCCTTTTCCTCCATCTTTTCCTCTCTCTCCTTGTTCTGCCCTTTGGGATAGACCTTTGCATTTGTCTCTCAACCCGCGAGGCGGGAATCTATATCTACGACTAGAACATCTACCCTTGTCCTTATCAGCTCTCTAAGAAAATAATTATGCTTGATTAATTTCCATTCACAACAAGCAACCGAACGCTTAAGAAATTGACTTTCGTATACACCTGATAGTGAAAAAACGTTGTCGCTTGAAAGGTATAAACCATGAACGAAGGGACCTAATGGATTTACGGGTAGAACTTTATTAGCATTGTAAATTTAAAGTTCTTCTCAAAAATGTTTACATTTACGAAGCTTTTCGCGACAATGCATTCCAAAAAACGTAAAACGGTTTCCAGTATTTACGACTCACAACTTCACCAGTGATGGACACATAAGAGATTTCTACAGTTAAAGAGCGTAGCCATATCGCTAACGCACACTTGAAAATCATAAGATAGGACCTAAAAACGTTCTTGGAAGACAAAAAAAAGACAACAGCATGCCTTAAACAAAATACTCTAGGGATTTGCATCCGCACGAGCATCTCGTGACAATGTAAACTTTTGTCGAAAGAACTTTGAATTTGCTTTGCTAATGAACCTACTACCCATAAATCCTTGAAACCTCATCGTTCATGGTTTATACTTCAGCGACAACGTTTTTTCAATCAGGTATATAATGTGGCACCAACTAAAGGTAGAGAATATTTAACAATACAGCAAACACCCGCATATAATTAAAGAACCTGTGGATTAAGAACCTCCCGGCAGAAATGCACTACTTTATAATACCCAGAAGTCCAAGAACATGTTTAGGCAAGCAAGATCAACAGGTACTAATATGTGGGTTGTTGTGATAAACTTTGTTTAACTTGCAACATATTCTAATATGCTACTTTTCTTTTCAATAACTTATTATTTTTGTTGTATTTATAGAACTTGTGTACGTTATTTTCTCACGACTTGATAATTAATCTATTCCTTTTACTTATTGCTTGTGGCATATAACTCTGAATAACTTAGGCGAGTTTGCACCCCGGAAACATGGTTTATTTTTTCTTATGCTCCACGATTTTCTTATGCTTCCACGGCTTCGTTCAACTTTTGACATGAACAGGTTAGGGAAATCCGCCTACTCCACTGGAAAAAGTGCGTTTAAATTGGCAAAACTAAGTGCCAGGTTTGGAAGTGATTTGTTGAAAACTAACAAAGATATGGCTCCTCAAAGTCGCGAAATTTTACAGACGTTTGTATGGCGGCCAGGGACACAAAAAACTTCCCCCCCCTCCACCATACAAACGACAATAAATTTTCGCAACTTTCAGGAACTATATCTTCGCTGCTTAAGGCACACCACTTTCAAACTTGAAAATTCTACCAACTTTGATGCGTTCTTTCCAGTGGCATCGACAGATTTTCCCTAACTAGTCCGTGTCAAAAGTTAAAAAACCATGGGAGGGTCTGTAAGTAAACAACCTACAACAGAGTGGCTGTCCGCTGCATCTGAACCTGGTCCCCCATCTTGTCCTTTATGTCCATCTCCTCCCTTAGAAGTCACTTCGAAGGTTCCAGTTATTACGTCACAGATTATTACCACTGAAAAATAAAACGAAAAGCAAAATGCGACCATAAATCATAATTACTGCGCGCGCACTGAAAATTTAATTTACTACGTTTCGAATTACTGTATGCTGTTCGCTGTCACCTGCTGTCTCGATTTCCTTGTGGAAAACCAATATCGAGGATCGGGGATCGGTTATTAGATCATCAGTTCTGTTGAAACGGGTCAGCATTTCTTTGCATTTGGTTAGACTTTGTTGAGAGCAATTGCTGATATGGTCGACACGTTGTTGAAGATTACTGTGACTGGACAGTGGAATCAGCTCAGAGATAATGGTGTCGTCAGCGAATTTCCTTATAAAAGTGGAAAGTCCTGGGAAAAAATGCCCTTGTTTTCTTTTAACTTACCAAAATATCCTATTCTCTCTCTCACGGTGTACAAAACTACGATCAATATACGTTTCTGGGAAACTGCCCATGCCACCTACCCCTCCCTTAAGCCAACCTTTTGCTCTAAGTAAGAAGTAAGTGGTAGTGTTTGCTTGGGGGAGGGGTAGGTTGGCAGTTTCCAGAAACGTATAATGACTAAGAACAACTCGCCGGGAACGCTATCAGAACGAAGTCGAACAATTTATAAATGAAAATCACTCAAGCAAAAACATTGTGCTCACAGGAAGGTTCCTATTTTACACGCATAAACGTGAGTCACAAGCCATTTTCACTTCATTTGCGCTCTTTTCTGGTCTTTTCAAATTTATTTTTGGAAATTCGGTTAACACGTTTTTTCATATGGTTAATGATATTCAATCCACGATCCCCGATCCTGATCCCCAATCCTTAACCCTCAACCCCCGATCCTGGTTTACAAGGAAACCAGCTGTGTGTAAGGAAATCAAGTCAAAAGTTTTAAAAAAGGCTTCCCACCTACCTTTTGGTCCGTCTGCGCCATGTTTGCCATCCTCTCCTTTGGTTCCATCTCCGTTTGTTTCGGTAGCAACTGGGCGTGAAAACGTCTGTTTCCAATTAGGAGTAAATACACCGAGCGTACTTCCACTCGCAGCAACAATTTCCCTTGCAAATACTTTTACTTTTTTAATTCCATAAAAGGAAACTTCTCCCTGTTGAAATTATTGAGACAAAGCAAGTTTTCTTACTTCACTTCGCTACTTGCATAAACTTTATAGGCCGGGAGTAAATAGCAGCTGTAATGGCGATGCTTATTCTTTTGTTCCATAAAAACTTCGGGCAACTACCAGAACTAAGAAAAAAAACTCTTTTCTATAAGCAATATAAACATCTTTAGGTCAAACCTTCCTCTGACGAGTAATATTTCTATATTCTGCAAAATTGTATTTTCAGCTTTTTGTCGGCTGCTAACAACGGTAAAAAAAATAAAATTTCAATCATAATTTATGAACATGTCAAGTGATAAATTTATAATATCTGGCAAAATCCAAGATGGTAGCCATTTTGTTGGGCATTTTCGATGACGTGAATGTGAATGTTTTTAAGCTTGCTCTTTTAAATCTTTAATTCAATGATTTTATATTAGTTGATATCTTGTACATTTTAATAGTTTTTTTTACTTATTTTAGCGTTTAATTTTATCGTTGATTGTGTGTACCTTATTTTTTAATATTATGAGATACTTCTTGTATGAAAAAGTTATCTCAATAAAGATTATTATTATCATTATTATTATTATTATTATTATTATCATTATTATTATTATTACAATTCTTAACCATTTCTTGGTTCAAATAATGTACGCTAAGTCCGAGATCTAACGCTACCTTAACATAAAGAGTGTCTGCAAGAATTTCCAGTTGTTCAGTAAGGTCAATAGCAGCTCTGGCGGGATCAAAATTCAAGCCTTGTTCTGTCTTCAGCTGGTTTTTCAAGTTTGCCACATGAATGACTCGACCGAGGGCTCGATAGTGACCTTAAAATTATTTAAGAAAAAAATATACAAAAGCGTTAATAAGAAAATTAAGGTATTCTACAGCTTAAGACCATAAGACAGTCGTTTAATAAAGAGGTAATAATAATAATAATAATAATAATAATAATAATAATAACTTAAGATTAGGAAGTTTTAAAGGATATGTATGCTTTACCAAGCTAACAAAAGAATTATACCTTGTACAAGAAAACTTATGGACTACGCGCGTACGGAGCCCCTTCGTTGAAGGGTTTGTCAGTTTAAAGGAATTTCGTAGAAAGAAAGAAGAAAACAAGTTCGGAGTTGATGGACTTGCAAAAAGAAATATATTCAATCCTACTTTGAGCTGTTGTTGAAAATAGACCACGGCGATAAAAGGGATTTGTCGGTGCAAACGACATTCAGAAACAAGCTAAAAAGTCGAGCAGTTAGCAACGCAAGTGATGGGTAACGATCGGCTGAAGAAATCGTGGACTTTTTTATATTTACCCTCCGACGAAAGACATTTTTTTTTTATTTGAGAATGACTTTTCCCTTTGAATGCTAACATCATATACATAATTATAATACTGTACTTATTTGCGTGTGTGGTTGTCTGTTTGTTTGTTTGTTTCAATATCAGCATGGCGGCTTCTGTGATACCTTTCTTAATCTGTACTATTGATGGCGTTTGGAGCCAGGTCGGCTGTGGAATCTTCACATTTGGAGAAGTATCCTGGCTTTTCCACATACCAATAGCACATGCATTCCTTATGGAGGGATTTCTGGCAGTCGAAACAGCTAAAAAGCAAACATTAAGAAGAATGTAAAAGAAACCCTCGAGTCAAGAGAGGAAATTCAACTAAAAAATGTCCCGTGTTTGAATTCAGAGTACGAGAGCAAGAAAATACAGTTAAGAGGGTCTTTTGTTGGTCGGAATGATTCAAATAACTTAACTTCACAGTGAGATAACAAACAACAGAATCAAGATTGTTCTTTTTCGAAGACATTTGACAAGTTCTGGCGTCTTAAATTTTCAAGAATGATAAACAGCGGCAGAAGACAACTGAATCGTGCGTGAAAATCCATTTCCCTTTGGAAAAGGGATCATACATCAGCTTAAAATCAAAGGAAATAGTTCTCTCCTATATTAAGACGTTCGAGGCTAAATTGGTTCTAACCAGGTGTTCAACGTTTGTAAGAAGACAAGAAATTACCGAAGAACAAGCCAAACTACTTAAAAGCGCTCAGCTAAGTACATAAAATTATCACAATTTATCAAAAATACTCATCTTTGTAATAACCGTAACCGGGACAATAGTTTGCTGATTTGTGTAAGGCTGTTCTGACCCACATTTTACTTTAGTATATAGACACTCAGTGATCTTGGTGATTTCTAAATCACTGATTGGTTCGCTATCTCGGACTATTCAACAATATTCACCTCCTAGCGAGTGGATAAGGTGTGAGCTCGGTGTTTTTCCCATTTTTTTAGAGAACGATCTTTTAAAAGTCAACAAAATCCTAGGGTTGACTTTTTTTAAGGCAAGAAAAGACTTCGAAGGATTCAAAACGGCGTTTTTCCATTTACTGTAGCTGAGTTTTGCGCTCCATGGATTGTTTACAACTCCAGTTTATTCGCGTAGAAGAAGCCGTTTCGTGAACTCAGCGTTTCCTAACAAGAAAATTTGGCCCAAAAATCAAATTTTAGTTACGACAAACAAATTTGAAAGCAAATGTTTGCAAAAATTCTACGTTTCAAGTAAATAGGAAAAAGAATGGTACAGGAAGACAACGTCTTACCTTGAGCAACAGAGCCGCCATTTTTGTCAGCACTTCATGCGAAGAACGACACAACAAACCCTTTTGGCTATAAACTTAGCGAGTCAACAGAAAACAAAAAAGCTCTACTTTTCTTCTCAGTTAAGGAAACAATTCAAACTTTTAACGGTTCCCTTTAAGCCATTACGCTGTTGTTTGCGAAGTGATAAACTAGTGAATTGCCATGTTTGAAAATTCTGCAAAGATCTATTTTAATTAAACTTTCGCGTGATTTGATCCGTCAATCAAATCGTACTTTCTAATGGTTTCCTCTCTGATTTTGTTGAGATCACTTCTTGTGCATATACGAAAGCAATTATTTTTTTCAATCTCTGTGAATAGTGGCTTTAGGAATATTTACCTAGCGGCTTCGCGCCTCGGTAAATATTTAGCCACTATTCGCCTCGATTTCAAAGAATAATTGTTAAGTATACAAAGCTTACTGTTATTAAACTTCACCTTTGTTACTTTCTGCATCTTCTTTGATTATTTCGTCCTGGACACTTGATACAGTTAATGTCACGGAAATAAATAGTGTAAAAAAAATCGTTGGACAATTCATGTCGCCTGAAAAATAAATAAATAAAAATTAATGAAAAAAAACAAAGAACTAATTACTAAAGAAACAAAGAAGGCGAATAGTCAAATAGGGAGGCGACTTCTACAGAGTCGCAGCTATTTCTTAGAATAAAGTAAATTATCATATAATTAATCGATACATTAAGAAAAATGTAAACAAGGCAATGCAAATGAATGTCGAGGAACCACAGCTCTTTATCCAAATAGAAAAGTGCAAAAACAAAGTAAAAAAAAAAAAAAAAAAATACCTCGTCTTTAAGCAACAATGGATTTATCCATGTGTCGGCGTGGACAATGGAGTACAGCTTGACGGCAAAATAGCTTTACCAACAATAAAAGCATTTGAGCCCACCTGAAGCGTCATGCTGAGCGTACCCGGTCGTTAAGTCTAAGTCCTTTGTTAAGTCTATAATTTAAACCTGACCGATGGTTATTTTAAAACGTAAATCAAACTTCACCAAAAATTTAAAGACACGACATTTCCAAGCTCTGTCTAGATCGACGAGCCACCAGAGCTAATTGGGGATGATTTGTGGAATAATTTCCGCTGACATCTGTGAAAAAAAAAGAGAGAGAAAACGAAAAAACAAACAAACAAAAGGGTGACGGTTTGACCAACCCGTAAAAGGTCAAGGTGTGTCGCCACTAACTGCTTTTTCTTTCGCTCGGATTTTTTTAAGCATGAATCATGTATTACATCTGCCCGACTACCATAAGGAAATAACTGTTACTACATCGTTTGTTTGATAGGTAAGAATTCTAATTCATCGACTATCAGTTCAAGACAATTAAATTTGCTATATATTTCCCAGTTCAACCGCCGTGATATACATGTACTGCATGTACTTCTTCCCTAGGATTTGCGAGCTATTTTCCCTAAAATAGCCTAACCAGTGCGAGGTTATGCTTTGTCAATCTAGGAGCAGCCTAAATAAAAGTTCGAAGATTAAACTGAATCCTCATTTTCATTTTGTAAAATACTGAAAATATATAGACCACCATTTGAAAGTACGGCTTGAAAGATTGCACTTAAAAGCTCACTATTGGACTTCGTATACAAGCTGAATGAAGTTAATTACCTTCCTGGGTCATTCTTATCACCTAAGGCCCCGTTTCTCGGTAGCGGAAGCCTTCGTAGCAGGCGATTGGAGGTAACGGACGAGGGGAAGAACGGGGTGCTCGAGGGAGCTTTTCGGCCAGAGGGCAAAATGTGTCGTCAACAGATACTTCATAGCATTTCCTTTAATACTATTAGAGCGAAGGTCTGGAAAGCCAAAGACTGCCTTTCGGACCCAGTTAATGTTGTAGCCAAGGTTTCAAGAAACGGCCCCAGCCAGTTCCAATGATATGAGCTGTATTAAGATATAATTGTTTTATAACGGCTGTACATAGTCAGCATTCCCTTAAGCACGGCACTAACTAACAACACAAAACCATACGTGCGTTAAAACCGAAACTTGCGTTAACCATCAGGTGTCACGCGCAGGCGCAAAAGCAGAAGAAACTATGTTTAAAAAACATGGCTATTAATTAATTTTGGCGCCAAGTTTGGCGGGAAAAGTCGGGTTCCGTAAAGAATGCTATTTTTTCTTGCTTTTGCGCATGTGCTTACACTGTATGTCGCGCACATTCTCACTAGGAATGAAATCGAGGTAAGAATACATGTACGTGGATTACAACATGAAAACGTCCGATCAAGTTTCAAAGTGATATCTGTGAAAATGTCTCAAAAAACCGGCCAATATGGTTTGCGATGGCAGCGTCGTTTACTCAAAAAGCATCGAACAATCTTTGCGATATATACTTTCGCTATAAAATTGCAACTGTTTAAGAACACTGCTTATCAAACTTTTTTTTTTATCTACGATTAAACAAGTTTACCAACTCTTGTGACCCCTGTCCAAAAGCCTCAAAACTGGTTTTCAATCTTGCAAGCTGACCTTCCTTGAAATGCTGTTTACCTCGGCGAAGGATTTCTTGCTCTACAGCATCAAATAGATGCCGGGTTTTATATCCCATTTCAGTAAATGGCCAAAGTACATTACACATTTCTGCAGCCTTGAGGGAGGAAACATTAAGCGCCAAAATCGCATCTTCTAAGTACTCAAACAACTCTCTGCTCCCTTCCTTGGCATGAGCAAAACCAGTCAGGAGCCTCTGTACATCGAGATATTTAAGAGCAGAGGGATCACGGCTCAAAACTTCTTTTTCAATTTTCCTATAGATGTTCTCATTTGTGATTCCAAGTTTTCCAAAGCTCCACGCACACGTGCACAGATCCTTGTTGCTAACACTCTCCAAGTCCACGGACGAGAACTCCTCAAGGATTTTGTCATAAAGTTCAGCATAGTCTTTTTCCGCAACTGCAAATGACCACAAAATTTGCGGAAGATACTTTCGAAAGGCGCTTAAATCACGAAGCATGAGTTCCTTTTTTATGAGATCAAACACGTTTGCATTGTGCTTCCCTGACTTCACAAAACACCAAAGAATGTTTGAAAGCAAAAAAGGCAAAAACCGACTCATGCCATGATTGACAAACTCTTGGTCCATATGACTAAAAACTTGGTCATGAAGCCTGTCCGATTTTTTGTGGGCAAATGTCCAAAGTATCAAAAAAATATCAGTGTTACTAAGGCTTTCGATTCCCATCTTGATCACCTTCTGCTCTGTGTGAGAAAACAGTTCATCAGCCTTAACACCTTTCTTGGCAAATAATGAAACCAGCTGGAATAGTTCAAAAGGCTTAAATGTCTCCATGCCCCCTGAAGTAAACGTCCTTGCAATAAAGTTCAAACAAGTTAAGGGAGCCATTTCCTGTTTGAGAAAAAGACCTCAGACTTCCAACCAGGCCTTGATTCTCAAAACTTGAGATCTTTATTTTGTTAGAAACAATTGCCCTTTCCAATTCAGCAAAAACCTTGCTTTTTCTCATAGCGAGAGAAGCGAGTCCAGACAAAATCTTATTTATGTCCTTGGTACTGAAGAGAGTAATGTCCCTGTAACGAATCTCTTGGTCGCAACTTTGTGCTAGGGAGTGGTTTTCAAACCCAACAGCAACTGGACCAATTTTGCCTAAAGACCATATAACACTTGCTAGATCACTGTTACTAGATTCGGAAATATGCTCGGAAATGTTATCGAGCAAGTCCAAAAACACACTCTCATTTCCTTGCGATTCTTTATCAATTTCTGCTTTTAAGGCAAACCTCTGTGCACCATCCCTCTGTACAATATATGCAATACAGCGTAGGACTGCAATTCTACTTGCTTGAATCATGATATCGCCTGCATCCTTGTAAGTATTGTAGGCTTGAAGCAGCTCCAAGGCCTTCTCCATTGAAAGGATCTCACTTAGTATTGTCTCTTGTCTGTTACCAGTGGCTTTAGCTTCTGCCGCTTGTACCGTGACAATACCATCTTGACTAGCAGTGTCACAGGAAAAATGTCTCAGAACTCTTAAGGAAGATATAGACTGAAATACATAGGCCCTGCCAAGATGACACGAGATCAATTGTTGTCTTCTGATAACGTAAGGTGATACGCTTCTTACAAGACATGCCAAACTTCCTCTATACATGATCGAAAACCTATCACATCTAGAAAGATATAATATCAGGATGTTACTACACTCACTCCCTTAGGGTGCTAAACGTCAAAATTCAAATAAGATGCTTAAAAGTTCTAACAGGTTTTTTCAAAGGTAACACACCATTCCCATAATTAACAAACACCGTGACTCGAAATGATTAAACTGATACACTAAAAAGTAAATTATTTAAGCATGAGGAGCTGGGGGCGGGGGGGATTCCTTACAAATCATGTCTTTCTGATAACCCTTACCTCAACCTTGATTATTCTGGGTATCCCAAAAACCTCATTCAATAATAATGTTAATTAACTAGTATACTCATGCTGGAGTTATCCCCGGCAGTACAAAAAGTATCTTGCTGAATCCCTATGTGTTCTTTTTCCAAGAAAACAATGTGATGATGAAAGTCTAGCTGTCTTGTTGCCACAAAATAAAATAATATTCTGTGCTCAAATTAGCACTTTGACGATGCTTTTTTTTTTCACCTTCAATTTATTATCACAGTTGGTACAGTCATTTTGCCGTGGATGTTTGTTTTGACAGGATACATGTATTACTAATCTATTTCCAATGGTAATGCTGGTTTAAATCACATTCTAGGTACATGGTCTTGGACAGGCTATTTAACAATTATTCCTCGAGCCTGAATGGACTCTGAGTCAATAGCCCATGAGGGCAAGAGCCATGATAATTGTTTCAGTAAAATACAACTAGTTGGTCAAAAATATCAAGAATTAAAAAAAAATTAGCTAGTTAAAGCTAGGCTCTCATCCTTTTTTGCCGCCAAAAAGCTGGCGCTTTTTGCTACTAGGGGGCTATAACATATAGCCTAGAAGTAGCTCAACCAATCAGAACGCAGCATTGGTAATAGACCACTAGTTGGATTTTACTAAAGTGCAATATACTTTCAATAAATTATATAAAGGTGAATCACAATTTTGCAATCATGGCACATCTAGTAAAATTTCATTAGGTTTTACCCCAAGGAATTATACTAAAAATAATACATACATGTGTGTCTGCTCTACTATGGACTCATATTTACATTTTGCAACCAGCCTTCTGGAATTGCAGCTGTGTATAGTTTATATTCCTTTAGTATGTTGTTAGGTTAATAATTGTGTTTAGATGTTGGCATTCAAAACAAACATCTTTTTGCCCAGTTGCAGACAAAGACTGTGGAAATTGTTTGAGGTGATGATGAAATGATTATTTTCAATAATTTTCCTGTTTCGATTAGGTATTTGCATTTGCATTTTTTCTTCTTTGTAATTGAAATGGTGGTTTTCACCTGCAGCACCATATCATTGAAGGGTTTTCTTTTAATTTAAGTTTATACTTGACTAAAAAATGCCAAAGTGTGAAAGAGAAGACTAGTATCAGGTTTGTGCCTTGTAAAGAATAATTTGGCACCATAAGAATAGACCTTATTTCTAAATGGGTCAGCATGCAGACCTATTACATATACAAATCTGCTTCCCCCACCGTCGGACATTTGCACCTCTCTGAAGATAAAATGATAAACGCCTGACAAATACCTAGGGGTGACGAGAAAGGGCACAGTTGAAAAATTATTGACCGAGCCATTAACAAATGATGCTCCTTCTAATCAGTCAGTGTCATAGTCAATTTGTAGATTCTGCATTATTTCAAGCTTTATTTGATAAGTCATAGAACTGTCTATCAGCCCTTTTGCCTTATACATATAAGTATCTCCCATGTTAGTTAATACAAATATTATAATTTGTAACAATATCTCAACTGAGTGACTGTGTTCATCGGTATAGTAAGTGAAAGTGTAAATTTTGACTCCCTGTTCCAAAATAAATAAACTAATAACTAAGCCTCAAGGGGCCCGTGCAGAAAACCCGACAAATACCTAAATGCCCGACAAATACCTAGGAGTGAGGGAGAATGGGCATTGAAATTAATTGACCGAGCCATTAACAAATGGTGCTCCTCCTTATCAGTCAGTGTCATAGTCAATTTGTAGATTCTGCATTATTTCAAGCTATATTTGAAAAGCCATAGAACTGTCTATCAGCTCTTTTGTCTTACACATCTATGTATCTCCCATGTTAGTTAATACAAATGTTTTAAATTGGTAACAATATCTCAACTGAGTGACTGTTTTCTTGAGTATAGTAAGTGAAAGTGTAAATTTGACTTCCTGTTCCAAAATAAATAAATAAATAAATAATAAATTAATAACTAACCCTCAAGGGGCCAGAGCAGAAAACCATACCCTGTAAACTCTTGCATAATCATGGTAAAAAAAAAAATGGTCACATGACTGAAGTAATACCGTGGCAAAACGCAATGCGCATGAGCGCAAAATTTAATATCCGGTTAGCTTTTTATTTCCGGTCTAGTATATAAACCAATAGCGTAAGCATAACTTTGCCGTCGCGCCAAGTTTAAAAGCAAAAAGGGCGAAACAGACAAAAAAGGGGGCCAAAAAAATCACTTCATTCGAAAGCTTATATATTTTTCTATTCTCACACTTTTACACCACATGGTTATCTGTTTGCACCAACGGTGAAAATGATGTTTGAAGTTTGCAGGTCGTGAGCGCTCGACAAGACGAATTTGTTTTTACTGGCTTTCTTGCAGCTACTGGTTTGGCATAAGTTAATTTGGGAGAAGGCGACAACTAAGAAAAGAATAACAATACTTATGAAAGAAACCAAAATAAAGACGTCATCATTATCATAAAAAACACTAAAACCAGGAAATAAAATTTTAGTCCGTTCAATAATTTGTTTCATTATCAGAGAAAACAAGAACTCAAAACAAAAGATGGGCGGGATTTAATAACAACCTTGACTTTGATGACTGCAGTCACCGGGAAACTAAACATGCCTATAAATGACTTTCATTCAAGAAAATGCCTATTTAATTCTTTCACATGGTTGTTCTTTTGTTGAAGACTTCAATAATTTCAGACTGTGCGGCTCAGCTGCATCTCATGCAAACACGAAACTTCTAGCTGCTAAATACATGGCATGAAAAGTTCGACTTCTAAAAGCCACTGAACCAGCTTTCGCTCTCTGATTCTGAGAATGGAAAAAAAAATAAATAGAGTTGTCAACTTCCTGCCAACCGGCTCAACAGTATAATTAAGCTTATGTTTCATGGCAATCAACCCAGAAGAGTTTCGTTTTAAAACACGGTAAAACCCACTTGTAAACAAAACTACAAAGCGATTGTGTGTTGTCGTTTTCCAAATAAAGTTTGAATCGGCTTTAACACATGTAGACTGAGAAGCTGAAGAACTGAAAATTAGAACTACAATACACAAGCTTGCAATGATAACGTTTTAATTTTATGTCTTAGTTTCAGCCAGGTTAAGTGAAAAATAACAGTCAAAAACTTTATTTTCGTGAATGAAAATCAGTTTACCTGACGCTCTAGCCAAAATTACACACTGAGTTATTATCATCTTACCTTTTCTGGATCTAATTGACTAATTGTTTCAGTGATCTGTGCCTGGTTATCCATAAAAGCAATTTCAATAACTACAAAATAGTCAAAAACACGAGCAGCATAAAGCAGAACAACTGAACCACAAGCTGCACACAGAATGAAGCCGAGAGCGCGCGGGAGACTTTGATCTGACTGGAAAGTGTGACTGAAAAAGAGACCGGAAATGCTTAACCTGGCGCATGCGTAGACGTTTTGCCGCGGTGTTGACTGAAGTATGTGGCAGCAAAGGTTTGAATTAATAAAAACTAGCAATATCATGGCTTGTAAAGTTTAACCTTAATCAAAATCATTCAACTAATGGCGTTCTTTCCAACTCTGCCTTTGCAGTCCTAAACTTTAAATAAACATTGATGAGAAGCCAACTGCTCACAGCAAACATGCATAATATGGCTACTGTATGCTACTATGGCTTTACATGCAGTTTTTAGAACCATTCGGGAACTACTGCCATGTCAATCGTACTGTAGTGAGAGCAGTGCTTTAACGACTTGCTACTCTTGCCAAAAGAAAGAAAAGTTCTTTTTTTTTTGACTTTTTGGGCTTAACAGTGATAGTCAATTCAGACCATGTGATGCTTGAATTTCGCAGCATAACTTTTTTAGCATCTCACTTCTTGTTAGCTTTTTGATCCCTTTAATCAAGATAGATTAGTTAATGTTTAGATCTATAATTTAATCCTTACTGGACAGTTGATGAAAATTAAAGGACAATAGCTTTGCTGACAATATTTAATAGATATATAATTAATGCAAAAACTCAATTGTAGGGCATAAATAGGTGTGCAAATGCCCCTTCCTCAGGTAAAATCACTGTTGTCTGGTTAGTGTTCAGTAAAGGCAAATAATACTTCAATACACAGAGCTCTGAGATACTAAATCTTAATAATACTGTATTTTGATTTTCCTTGTTTAAAGTAGCAGAAAACAAGAAATTCATAAATGACAAATTCCCCACCCTCGGGCAGACCTTTGAGGACAAATGCACCACCAGTGAAACATTGCACTTAACACTTAACAAATGCCAGGGGTATGGGACTGCATCATAAAAGTAGTGTGAAATTTGTGCAGGCATAATAAATGAATAAGGTGATACGGAAATCTCACCTAGTTTAGCGCTTTTGTCAGTTAAGTTTCGCTGCACTAAGAGTTGTATTTGGTCTTCAAGGTGGCAGGGGTATTTTGCGGAGCGCAAAACGCCGAATGACTCTGAAGTTTGGTCATAAAAGGGTTAGGAAACTGAGTGAATCAAGTTTCAGATCAGTTTTGCCAGTATAATGATCCTACATGGAACCTGATTCACTAAACGCAGAGTCATTCCTTGTTCTGCATTCGGCGTTCGGCGTTCTGCAAAATAAGCTAAAATACCCCTCCTGCCTTCAACTGTGAGTGGTTAAGCAGGAGGACACGTCTTGTTACTGTTCATTACTATGGTTTGACCAGCGTGTTTGGCTTTCGGTGTCTTCAGAAGCTTCACGTCAAAAAGACAGAGGAAAATACTAATTCCAATGTGATAAAACAACTTACCTCTAGAATAAGTGAATAAGGAAGCTGTCGCTGGTGCAGTGTAACTCCAGAAGTCGTCCATGTACATGTAACACGAATGTTCTGATCGTGGGGCTTACACCAAGTAGTAACCATTGTAGCTCGAACCCAGAGTTTTTCCACAGGTAGCCCAAGCTCGAAATATGAGCATCAGCGAACATCGGCATTGTTGCGTAACATTCGAAATATAATGATTTGTATGGGAAAAAAACTATCGTTCCATGTAACCTACAAAAATGAAAGGATTTCAATAAAAACAGCTTACCTTAAAATGTGTGTTACGTCTCTCCTGTGTGGTCCACGGGCCGATTTATGGCCGTTTTATGGGTTTTTATATCAACGGTTTTATAAAGGTTTAAGTTAAACCTTTATATCATTTATATAGAGAGAAAACCGTTTATATAAAAACCCATAAAACGGAAATAAATTGGCCCGTGGACCACACAGGAGAGACGAAACACACATTTTAAGTAAGGCAAGCTGTTTTTTATTGAAATCCTTTCATTTTTGTAGGTTACAGAAACGATAATTTTTTTTCCCATACAGATCCTTATCTTTCGAATGTTACGCAACAATGCCTATGTTCGCCGATGCTCATATTTCGAGCTTGGGCAACCTGTGCTTTTTCTCTCTCATTTCGGAGGAAGAGGATGAACCCTGGGACGAAGATGCTCAACAAGAACGAAAAAGTAGCCTGAGAAAAATCTCCTCTCCCCTAGCCCCTTAGGATGGCCTGACACTCAGGCTATTACTGGGAGGACTAATGAAAGTCAAATTTCTACCCATGCAATTAGCCAAGGTTATGTGAAAGGAAACTATGTCGGTGATCCCAGCGGCACCTTCCATGTGAGAATGGGTTAGTTTGAGGGGTGATTTCTGCCAATATTAACTTTCAAATTTTGTTATGCCATTATCCTATGCTGTTATTCAGTTTTCTTAGGAATTCTTTTATGCATTTTCGAATCCTATTATTCCCTTTCGAATTCTGTTATTCACTTTTCTGATTTTACTATGCCATTATGCATTCTTTAATTCAGTTTCCAATTCTGTTATTCGCTTTTGAATTCTGTTATGCAGTTTTCCACTTCTATAATTTGATTGTACAGTCCCCTCATGTAGTTGTGAATCCTACTATTTCCTTTCAAATTTTGTTGTTCACTTTTCTTATTCTATTAGCTTATGCCATTATTATTCGCTTTCGAATATTATGTTCTTTGTTCTTTCCGGGACTTCGTTTATTTGGCCGTCGGTGCCCTTTGGACCAGTAACAAATTGATAAAACATGAAAGACTTGGACGTTGACGTTTTACGGAATCGATTGCGAGTATGGGTAAATACGATTCTACACCGGCAACTTCATTCACCAAGTTTTGACTCTGATAGTCACGATTCTGTATTCTACAGCGTCAATAACCGTTTGGAATTATCGTTAGGTCAATTGAGGCATAATGCAAGCTTTATTCGACTCCTTATCGATGACTACTCTAAAAGCGAAAGCCAAATAAGAGCTCAAATTACAAATAAACCAGTTGCTATAGAGCGCTTCTTTGCAATATTTTGTTCTTCGGCTTTCTTTATTCTCCGAAACATAACCCTGAGCGATTACCTGAGTGCTAATAATAATGATGACATTCCATGTGTTGTCTTTGAATTGGAGTACGTAATGTCGACTTCATCCCGAAAGGACGATCGAAGTAGTATCTCGCTCTAGTCAGAAAGAATATAGGTTCCATACTTTTACCCCAGTTTTACGTTTGGTAACATGCCTAGTATCGTATGTGTCAACTTTCTGCTTACTTCTTCTTCTTTGTTGAGGCTTTTCGCACTGATTTTGTATTTTTCCTGTTATTTTGGCAAAATTACAAAATTTTGGGTGGGCCATACACCGTATTCACAAATGGCGGACACGCGGGAAAAACTGGTGCCTAGTCATGAAAGCGAGGCGTCGGAGGATAAACAAAAATTGCAAATGAAGACTTTCAGTGAACTTGCGGAGTGTTTAGCACGGATTCCACGTCCCTTTTGATTGCAAACAGCAAATCAGTTCTAAACATTAAAAGCTGAAGACGTCCCACAAGCTGAAGACATCCCACGTAATTGTAAAAAGACGTCCATCAAGTGATTTTAGGTGGAATCCGTGCTAATCACTCAACAAGTTCACTGGAAGTCTTCATTTGCAGTTTTTGATTATCCTCCAACGCCTCGCTTTCATGACTTGGCACCAGTTTTTTCCCGCGTGTCCGCCATTTGTGAATACGGTGTATAGGGTAGGCCATAGGGTGGGCCATGCCCTATCCCAGGTTTTGTTTACACCTTCTCGAGAAACGATCCCAGAAGTCCTTGTGAAGATTAACTCTGCAAGTTTCCTTCTCTTTTCTAAAGAGGCGAATGGTTTCAGAAGGCATGGACTCGAGATATTTCTTTATAATCTACGCGTTATACCTCCTTGTCACAGTTTCGTTCACAGTGCTTGTCGTATGAGTTTGAAACAAGTTTACTTTTTCTAATCAATAAAAAGAATCCTCCGAAACTCCAGTCAATTCAATCCAAAAGGTAAAATACATCAAAGGCTCTACAACATCATGATGTTTGCCTCGGCCCATTTTGCCTCGCCCGCCTTTTGTGTTAGTTACCCTGACCTTTTTCAAGTAGGCACGTGTGTACGTCCTTGCGGGTATCTACGCCTCTGCGAATCAAATTACACATTCTAATAGGCCATTTGCATTATGACGTCATTTTACTACTATGACCAGAATCCTTCAGGGTTTTGCTTTCTTGTGCAAATTAGCGGTTTTGTTATTGAAACTTCTCTGGGATTACCAAATTAAAATATGAAAGGAAAAACGTAAAGGATTCTGGTCGTAGTAGTAAAACGACGCCATCGTGCAAATGGCCTATTAAACTGCTTTCTTTAAAAACCAATTATCATACGGGTTCGGTAGCCCGTCAAGTGAGACTGTGTTACGCGCAACATTGCACTCGATTGCAATCGTCGTATGTCCGGGCATAAGTATAGTGTACAGGAGCTTGGCTTACTTTACACAGTCATGCAAGCCGACTCCTAATATCCTCATACGAAGTCTCCAGATTGATCTCCATACATTTCCGTCAAGAAATAGTTCAGACAATTTCATAAATGGTCAAAACATTTTTCTTTGGTGATCATCTTATTTCTATAACCTTTTCTGTTGATTGGGTATTGATATTGTTTTTTTAAAAATTGGTGTTGGTCACTCTTGGAACTTGAAGCGTTATAAGCGCTGGCCCGGATGAGGCTCCTCACATCAAAACTGATAACAAACACTGACACGTGTCTTTTATTCGACATATATTTACTAAACTATACTTTACAGTAAGACCTTACTAATTACACCTTATCCCATACTTTTTGCGACATCTTAATTTCGTGTTTTTTTCGCCAATAGTCTTGAAATCAGGAAAATTTGAGGTCTCGAGAAAAAAGCAAGGGAAAATACGGTGACTGATGATAAAATAAGAAGCCAAATCTAGAAACCACTACATGTGTCGATCGAGAAAAGTTAAAGCATGATAATGAGTCTCACGTAAAAAAAGGAATGTATTTAAAAAAAGACAGTAATGGAGCAACTTCAATGACTATCAATAATGAAATACCTATTTAATATAAAAGAATGCAATGCAAGTAATTATTGTAAAAAAAGGGAGTAACTAGCGTTTTTGACGACCCATAAACTGACTAGAACTATCCTCCCTTAAGATCATTCCTCGTATATGGGCTCCTAATGTGAATTGTGCGATAGACAAGAAGAACGTTTTCCGCAGCAATCACACAAGTTCGATGGCGAACTCCCTAAAGCAGTAAATATACATAGGCTACCAATAGTTGCACGAAAAAGAAAAACTACTAACCTACAAATGGAGTAAATATAAATGATACAAACAAAGGTTGCTAAATCTTTCGCTGGAGCAGAAAAATACTACCTATATAAAGATTTTACAAGTCTCCACAGTCCACTGCTTCGTCTTGCAAGTTATTCACATACAATAGAGAGATCTACAGTCAGGTTTACGGCAAACGGCGGCGAACGTCAGAATCAAGTTGAGAATTTCTCAAAATAAAAAATGTGCGGCTAAAAACAGTCCAAAATAACTGTTATAGACATAACTAACGTGAAGCTACTTATTGTGGGGTAGAGGTTATTAACTCTAAAGCACAAGTTAAGGGAAAACTT